CAGAAAGACTTTGGGGAAGTTTTCAAATTAAAAGAGAGAGGGGCATAAGGGTAAGAGGGCCCTTCAGTTTCTTCCCACCATTGCCTTTGAACACAGTTTATGTGACCAAGGCTTGCGGCGGCGTCGGGCCATCACGACGGAAGAGTCGGGAGGCTCATAAGGGACAGCAAGGCCTGCCCTGCGTTGAGCGGCTGAATTAACCTCTGAACTTGTCATTTGGAATTCTTTAACATAACCTTATATTTAAGCCACTGATAGTATGTGTGCCATTACTTGAAGCCAAAAACATTTTAAGACTGCTGCTATAGTTAAAATTCATGATACTATTAAACGTTTTCTTTGGGAGATCTCAAATGAACAAAGAAAGGAATTACATCCCCAAATGCTTATTAAATTTTATAATTGCCATATTTTATTTAAACATTCAACACATATTAAGCTCTAAAAATGAAACATTTATTAAGTACTGGGTGGGGCATGTTAAACAAATTGGGAATATTAATGCACAGCACCTTGTATGGAAAACCCATAGGCTTGGATGTTCAACAGAACAGTTTTAATCTGGGCACTGCCAATAGCAAGCTTTATAGTCTTGAGGATAATACTTTCTCAGAGTCTCGAAAAATGAGGGTATAGTTATCCCTACCTCTAGTATTGCTCCAAAGATTGATGATCAAGGTTATCATTTATTAGGCACTCTCCCCAACTTTCATAAATAATGGTTGAATGAATGAGCAAATTATATATTTTCTCATCAACACCACTAATGATATAGTTTGCCTAAAGTTTTGTTCTCTAAAAAGAATGGAACAAAATTTAGTTTAGAAACATCATTTAAAAACCAATTATTAGAAATTTAAATAAAGAATAAACAACTAAGAGATACAGAAATATTCTGTTGAAATGTTCATGAATCTGAAGCCCATGGGAGGATGCCATCTATGCTCTGTTCATTGTTTTGTGGATTTTCTACTCTGTGTGATATTGCAGCACTAGTTATATATCATTTGATTTAACAATTTAGGCCAAAATGGTTCAGTTCTTTTGATTAAAAATAGCAGTGTAGGATAATTAAATAAAATTCCCTCTTTTTAAAAGAGTCAGGCAAGCATACCTTGTCTGCAAACTCTAATTAATGCACATAGAAATTTTTGTATGTGCATACCTGCATGAGGCAGGCTGGGTGTAGCAGCAGGGAGTGGTAGGGCTAATGGGGAAGTGGATAGATTGTGCTGTGTATAGGGGACAGCTGCTACTTGGCACTCACCATCTAATACCCACATTCCTATGTGGGCCCCTTGGGGTCCATTCCTCCTCCTCCCCCCACCAAGGTAACCATGGTCCTCTATCTATATTCATAACTCCTATGCTTTTATTTTAGTTAATTTTATCTCAGATATAAGTTTTTTAAAGAAACTGTCAATTTTATTAATATAAAATATAATCTGTATAATATGTATATAATAACATCAGTATAATCTTTCTTAAGCAGAAAATTTTCAGAAGCAGAAAACTCAATTTTCATCTATGTTTTATTGGCATATACACAAAAAATCATGTAGGGGACACTTATAAACAGCTAAAGAATTTGAATCTTATTAAACATACACTAAAAATAAAGTAAATTTTAAATCACTTAAACAGTTATTAGCATTAGTAATCTACATTAACATTTATTAAGCACCTAGTATGTGCTACACGGTTTTAAGCACTGTATGTGTATTAACTCACTTAAACCCATGATGTTACCATTATTCTATTTTACAGAGGAGGAAACTGAGGCACAGAGAAGTTTATTAACTTGCTTACTAAGGGTACAAAACTAGTAAGTGGCAGATTTGAGATATAATCAGGGATATTATTGAGGCACTGTGCTGTAGATTCCTTCCACTTAATTATCACATACGTTGCTTGGATGATGTGAGCTTTACATTAGTAAATCATTAGTATGGGCTAATGGTTCAATTCTTAAACACTTAGGGATTCTGAGAAATAAAAAATCAATAGTGCTTTCAATAAATATTGATGATTGCTTATAGGGGGAGGGATCTTCCTAGAAACCAGAATATCAATGACACTTGGAGCAGGCAGTGAATAAACGACCGTGTCGGTTCGGGCAGAGCAAAGAGCATGAGTAAATACAGTACACTACAGGGATGGACTGGCATCAACATGGCAAGTTAAAGGCATTGACGAAAATAGTCTCGCAAAAAATTATTTCTGTATCTTTTTGTTGTTTATTCCTTTTCTCTGTGGTAAAATCTCTATTCCCTTCAGAGCCTCTCTCAATTAAATGATGTAACAGGCTTAATAATGACTCTCCAAAGACGGCCATACCCTAATCCCTGGGACTTTTGAATAAAAGTATGTCATGTGGCAAAGAGGATTTTGCAGATGTAGGTTAGACTGTGAATTTCAAAATAGGCAGATTATCCTGGATTATCTGGGTGGGCCTAGTCTTATCATGTGAGCCCTTAGAAGCAGAAAACTGTCTCTGGCTGGAATCAGAGAGATGCAACAGCAGCTGAAGGCAGATAAAATGCAGCAGAAGGGGGCATCAGAGACCCCAAGCTTGAGAGGGACTCAATATGCTGTTGCTGATTCTGAGATGTAAGGGTTCCTAGTGAGGACTGGAGAGAGGCTTCTACGAGTTAAGGTGTCCCTGGCTGACAGCAAGCAAAGAAAGGAAACTGATCCTACAACTTTATGGAACTGAATCTACGAGCACTGTGGATGAGCTTAGATCAGATTCTTCCCCAGAGCCTGCAGTAAGAACACAGCCTTGTTGACACTTTGGTTTTTACCTGGTGAGACCCATCTTTGGTTTCTGACCCACAAATCTATGAGATAATTACTGTGTATTGTTGTAAGCCACCAGATTTATGGTAATCTGTTACAGCACAAAAATGAATCCAGATGATGTATAGAGGATTATATTTGGACCTTGGGGGAGGTTGATTAGGAAGAAACAACAAGAAGTAGTGGGCTTTTTGGAAGCTAATAAAATCGACTTTAAGGAATTAGATATAGCTGGAGATGAAGACAATAGGAAGTGGATGAGAGAGAATGTTCCTGGAGAGAAAAAACCTCAAAATGGGATTCCTTTGCCTCCCCAGATCTTCAATGAAGAGCAGTATTGTGGGGATTTTGACTCCTTCTTCTCTGCAAAAGAAGAGAATATTATTTATTCATTTCTTGGTTTGGCGCCCCCTCCAGGCTCAAAGGTGACAAAATCACCTGAGGAAGGCGCCGCCCCAAATCACTCACCAAAGACGTTTCTTGATGCAACAAGCAAGAGGAATTTATTCGGAAGCCAACTAGTTGGGGTCCAAGTCAGCCCGTCGCAGCAGGTCTCAACGAGGACCCTGAGCACTTACAACTAAGTGGTTATATAGGATTTTCTGAGGCATTCAGCCCTAGAGGATTACCATGGTTACAGATTGTGTTGTAGTAACAAGATAACAATACTACATAGCAAGATAACAATACTACAAAGGCAGTAATTTTTCAAACCTACGATTTCTGGGTTAGTGCCACGTCCTGGGGGTGTAGCAAGGTAGGGTCAGCTTTTATGCTTAACTAACCGAAAGGTTAGCGCTGCCAGCAGTCATGATTGATTAACTTGTTTTTCCAGAGGAGTTACCTGGTTTCAGTTGTTCCCTCTGAGTCATATGTCAGAATGGTTTTCAGGCTTCAAGATGGCTACTCTTAGGCTAACTTATTTCTCAGGGAGGTTGGGGTCCTACAGAGGCAAGGGCAAGTAGTGGTTAAATTTCTATCATTTTTTCCTTATTCTCTATTTGAAATCCTGGTAATAATGAAGACATATATAAATATCCCCAAAATCTTTTTCTCAGCTTACTTGGAGCCTGGTATTAAAAATTGTCCCCTTCTACTTTTTTTCTGTCTAGATTTTTAACTAAAAGAGTAATCATTCCTCAAAGTGCTTTAAAAAAAGTGGTAAATTGAATAGATACTCCACTCAATTTCCCCTCTCTGCACAGCAGGAGTTTTCATTTAACTGGGATATTTTTATCTTAGTCAATACTTAAAGGAAAACAGTGGAACAAGGATTTTGCTTACTTTGAGAGTTCTTTGAGATCAGATCCTTTATGGATTTTTATATGGAGGAAAGAGAGAAAACAACTTTCCCTTTTGGTATGCTAGACTATAAAAAGAAAAGATTTATTAGTCATGAGAAAGATACTGGTAACTCAGGTTAGTTGTGGCTTCTCATATATGAGGTTTATGCCTTTTGCTAAGGGAGAGGATTCCAGAAGTGAATATATGTTTCCTCTTGGTGTATCTTTGCATTACTTTTCATATTCCAGGCTTTACCATTGTCTAATGCTCTCATGTGGATCTGTTGTGAAGATTAAAAACAACTGCTTAATTAAAGATAAAACTCAACTTAATTACTTCACCTTTTCTCTTCTTACCATTAATTTATTAGTTTTGTATTTAAAAACATAACAAAACTGAATTTTTAAATACTTTTCAGCATCAAAGATACAAAGTATATTTGAAAGGAATATTCTATCCTATACAAACTTTCTTCAGAAATTTAGGAAAATAACCAGAAAATCTCTTGAGTTTAGGGCAGGAGTTGCATTTTCTTTCTTTGAGTAAATTTAAATTAGATGCTTTATGTTGATTAGCTATTTTTGTTGTTACATTCAAATAACTGGTGCTATATTCAATAGAATTGTTGGGTCTTTTTTGGTGATTAAACTTCTAAAGTTATTTGACACTAAGAGGAAGATAGAATCTGAAGTGCTACATGCTTAACCTTAAGTAAAAACACATTTACAGAGATTGTTAGGTTGAGCTGAATTCTAAAGATTTAGGTTATGATTCTCTAGTTTTCATGTTTTAATAGGTACATTTTATTTCATGTTGATTCCAGAAACTAGACCATTGATTATTTTAGTAATTAAAGAAAAAATGTGTAATTTATTATTCTGTTTATCCTATTCGGACAATTTTTTAGAATCGCTGCTGCCCGTGTGTATAAAATAATTACCCTTGTGAAATAGAAATTCATGAAAATTCAGAGAGGTAGATGTTAAGGACTGATGAAAGTAGAAGCTTGTATAGTATGGCACATGTTATAGGGATAAGCGCTTTGTATAGGCTTCGAATTAGCTCTCCTTTGAATATTCACTGGTTCATGAAAAGTAGTTTAGAAAACCTTCCAAAGATTTGTTTTACTACAAAAAAAGGAACAGACTTTCTGGGGTCTGAAGGGATTTGTACTTGAAGATACTCCAGTCAGTAGGGGGTCATGTTGAGCATTCTGCAGACAGAATTGTTTCAAATTTGCAGCTGCCTGAGAAACTTTGACGCGGTTGAGCCCGGCTTCCAGACGGAGCTGCTGAACCACTTTCTTCATAGCGGCGACGCTGGAGGAGCCAGACACGGCGCTCGCAGGAGCCAGGCAGATTCGCCGGGGTGTACGTAGATCGGCAGTGGGCCCGCGGGGCCAGTTTTTTAGAAGAGCCAGTGCTTACTGTGACTTTTTGGTTCAGGCTAATAGAAACATAGTAAATAATTATGATTTAGGTACTTAGATTATATAAAGTATTTTTAAAAGTTTTTAAAACTGGTTATAATATTTAATAATTGTAAAAAGTTGGTGAAAAATTTTATGAAGAAGGTGATAAAAATCACCTATGACTACACCATCAAAAGTGTTAATATTTTGGGGGATGTTTAAGACTTTTTTTTATCATGTAATGAAATAACATTCTGAAATAAAATTAATGTGATTTTTTATATCTTTCTTATCACAAGATCTTCTGTTTAGTTGACCCAAGGTATTTGTTTACCTGTGGGAAATATATGGATTTTTACAGCAAATATATAGAAAAATAAAGAATGGTAACAAACTTTGGACATTCAAAATAAGATTTTCCAGAAAATTCCTCAAAGCCAGTATTTATAAAAGAGAATGATTTTTCTAAATATATATCAGCTCATATTTAACCAATCAAGGGGCAGATCATAGAGCTTTTAATAAATTAGAAAAGATACCCTGTCTTCCATTAAGACTTAAGATGCTAGAGTTGAGAAGAAATTGAGGATGTGACCTAGGAAATATGGAAACATGAGAAGGACATGAGAGGAAAAAGGAAAAAGAGAATGGAGTGGTCAGGATCTAGGTTAATTGAATCCTCTCATTTCCCTGTTTCTAATCTATGTGAAGGTCTGAACCCGAAATGGGGAGTGGGTTGGATAGGGCATTGATTTAAAAATAATAGAAAGTTGAAAAAGACTGAGGGCAGAATGGAATTGGATTAAAACAGGGGTGGCCATTTAAGGAGATGAAGCTGTGAGCTTAGGCAGAAAGAGAGGAAGTGTATGTAGTTCATATGTAACACTCATAAGGTTTCTGTGCGGTGCTGTGCAGGAATAAGTACCTGTATGCCAACAGGGCCAGGCCATTGTAGGGACAGGCTGGACTCATAACAGAAGCTACAGATCAGTCAGGAGGTAGAAGGAAAATATGGTAAAGCTTCGAAAATTATTTTAACCAGTGAGCATTATGGGGAGGCCATGTCAATAGGAAAAGCTACCAAGAAAAGACTGAAGTGGTAAAATAATCAAGTTGTGTCACCTGTTGACATCAACCTCAAATGCTAACACAAGAGCCAGGCAGATGACGGGTGTTGCTGTTGAGCACAGAGTAGCCACCGGCTGCCTTGCTGATGCAATGGCCTGTTTCTTCTAATGTGATAAGGTCACATGAGATTTTTGCCCACATTCATATGGACATCATCTTAAAGAGGAGCAAGACAATTTTATGGGGAACAGAAATAAAAGGGAGCTGAATCATTATCCAAAAAGGCTGATTCATTACATTTTTTAAATGGGACCACCAAGGATTAAGTCAGAGTTAAATACATGTAGTTTTCCCTGCTATTAAAGTGTAGGGACTTGGGAGGAAGGCCACATTGGTTATTAAAGATTTATACCATCCAAATTTTAATGTAAATAAATTTTAAGCCCATTACATAGTAAAGCTTAAAATATGTACAATAATATATATATAAATATAATTATTATATAAATGTGAATATACACACATACACATGCATACAAAGGAAACCCTGCTATTCTAATATTATGAATAGTTATTTCCTCCTATAAAGAATTAAGTCTGAAATTATATGTTTGAAAGCATTATGTTTGTGTTGTGAAATATAACATAATTATGAAGCATACATTTTTGAAATAATCACACTTTAGGAACCTACTATATACTCCTTTTTATAATCCTCTCTCTATTAAAAGAAGTACTTACTAACATGCCTTTATTTTTTAAATTGAGTTATAGTTGACATAATATCATAATACTTTCAGGTGTATAACATGATTTGACATTTATATACCCAATACTCACCATGATAATTGTAGTTACTTTCTGTCACCTTACCAAGTTATTACAATATGATTGACTATATTCTCTATACTGTGCCTTTCATCCCCATGATGTCTTTACCTTATAATTGGAAGTTTATACCTCTTAATCCCCTTCACCTATTTCCCCTAATCCCACACAATCAAACCCTCTGAGAACCACAAGTTTGTTCTTGGTATTTATGTGTCTGTTTCTGGATTGTGTATTGTTTTTTTTGTTTTTTTAGATTCCATATATAAGTGAAACCATGTAGTATTTGTCTCTTTTTGTCTGACTTATTTAACTCAGCATAATACCCTCTATGTCCATCCATGTGTTGCAAATGGCAAGATTTCATTCTTTTTTGTGACAAATATTTCCGTTATACACACACACACACACACACACACACACACACACATACACACACATATACACATACTCACACACACACATATATACACATACACACACACACACATATACGTGTGCCACAGTTTCTTTATTCATTCTTCTGACAATGGACACTTAGGTTGTTTCCATGTCTGGGGTTTTATAAAAAGTGCTGCAGTGAACGAGGAGATGCACATATCTTTTTGAGTTAGTGTTTTTATTTTCTTTGGATATATACTCAGAAGTGGAATTTCTTGATCATAGGGTAGTTCTATTTTCAATTTTCTCAGGGACCTCCATACTGTTTTCCATATTGGATGCACCAGTTTACATTCCCACCAACAGTGTAGGAGGGTTCCCTTTTCTCGACATCCCCACCCACACTTGTTATTTCTTGCCTATTTTATATTAACCACTCTGATTGGTATAAGGTGTTATTCATTATGTTTTTGATTTGCATTTCCCTGATAATTAGTGATATTGAGCATCTTTTCATGTGTGCTGGACATCTGTATGTCTTCTTTTGAAAAATATCTACTCAGGTCCTCTGCCAAATTTTTAATCAGAGTTTTTATTTTTGTTGTTTTATGAGTTCTTTATATATTTTGGATATTGGTCATTTGTCAGATATCACCCACATATCTCCCATTCACAAATTGCCTTTTTGTTCTGTTGATGGTTTCCCTCACTGTGTTTGATGTAGTCCTACTTATTTTTGCTTTTGATTCCCTTGCCTGGGGAGATGTATCCAGAAAGAAATTGCTAAGGCTGATGTCCCATAATTTACTGCCTGTTTTCTTTCAGGAGTTTTATCATTTCAGGTCTTACATTTAGGTCTTTGATACCTTTTGAGGGTTGTGTGTGTGTGTATGTGTGGGCTCAGGAGTTTTATCATTTCAGGTCTTACATTTAGGTCTTTGATACCTTCTGAGGGTTGTGTGTGTGTGTGTGTGTGTGTGTGGTACAAGACAGTAATCCAGTATCATTCTTTACCTGTAGCTGTCCAGTTTTCCAACACCATTTATTGAAGATACTGTATTTTTCCCATTGTATATTCTTGCCTTCTTTGTCATATATTAACTCACCATATAGGCATGGATTTATTTTGGGGGTTGTTTATTCTGTTTCATTAATCTATTTATTCTTGTATGAGTACTGTTTTGATTATTATAGTTTTGTAGTATCATTTGAATATTATATAGGGAGTGTGATACTGCCAGCTTTGTTCTTCCTTCTCAAGATGGCTTTGACTATTTGGGGTCTTTTGTTGTTCCATACAAATTTTAGGTTTATTTGACTAATGCTGTAAGAAATGATATTGGTATTTTGATAGGGATTGCTTTGAATCCATATATTACTAACATGCCTTTATAAAAATTATTCTCTCATTGTGCATACTTTATCACCTATATATATATATATATGTGTGTACCCCTAACAATAGAGTACACTTTGCTTCTTTTGTTCTTTATGTGATGAAATTATATGTAATTATGAATAAAATTATAGGTGCATAGGAAAATATATGACCATATCATAAATGTTTTATTCATTTCCTTTTGGATAAAACATGGGTTATTCTCAGTACTTTGCTGTCACAAACCAAACTGCTCTGATCATTTGTATATACCCTATGCATAATGGTATGAATTTCTCTGGTTATTTAATGTGGGTGGAAGTTCTATATCACAGGGTATGCATATTTTCCATTTTATTAGGAATGCTAAGCTATTTGCCAAATAGACTAGACCAGCCAATTTGTGCTTGGTAGTCCTTGAAAGTTTTTTGCTTAAATAGATACTCTGTGCTTTGTGTATCTATTTCTTTAGCTGGGAATTTAGGTTGTTATACCCTCTTTATGATTACATAAAATGCTACAATGAGTTTCTTTGTGTACTTTATACTTTGTCTTATAGTTTCTGTTTCTTTCCTTATATCCAACTCTTAGATTTTTAAATAATTTTGAATAAGTTTGTTCATTTTTGTGATTCCTGCTCAAAGTTTTTTGCTTAAATGCACTCTTTTTTGTTACGGTTTGCATATATCTGTATTCCTTAGCCCCCTTGTGAAGTGTAGTGCTGTTATTGAAAGTTAATTGTACAATAATGTCAAAGAAGAAATTGATATGGTAAAATCAAGAATACTATTAATGTATTTTTTCTTTTGTATATTAGCTATTTCTTTTAAACAGTGTTTCCCAGTTTCCCAGAATAGTAGAAATGCTTTTTCTACTCAGACATTGAAATTAGGACATTGAAATTATGTTAGTCTGAACAAGCCTTCTTTTTTTTCTTAGTGTACATGATTTCTGGGAATATCTTTTGTTCAAGAAAAAAGGCTTATGTTAAAACTCAGAATCCTGTTTTGATGCACAGAAGAATCAAGTGTTTCTGGTTTTATAGCTAGAACTAAGCAAAGAAATATTTGTAAAATGTGTTTATATAAATAATCACAACAGTTCTAGGTGAATTTTTAGGGCTGCCAATATTGATGTGTACCTAGAAAAAAATGAAAGCTTAAATAATTCTAAATAATTCTTAATACATCCTTGAATATATATCAAATCTGAAATTGTTTTATATTGATCTAAAATAGCATTGGCTATTCTTAAATATATTTAAAAAGTTTTTT